CCGTGCATCGCACGGGCCAACACTATTAATATAAAAAGAGGCTCGACTTGACTTTCAATTCTTCATCGCTTTCATAGCTATACAAAATACTTGATTTCTTGAAGGAATATCACACGTCACAAGTCACAAGGACCCTAAAGTCAATAAATCACCCTAGTAAGCTACAAGGAAAAATCCTTTCTGATAATGTCATCTTCAGTCTAAGATCCTTTTTTGGGTCAAATATTCATTCAGTCCTTAAAGTTACAGCAAGATTTTCAAGTTCATCCTTGAAACTATTTCATTTCAAATTAATCAATAAAATATTCTAATGGTTCCAATTTGATTACTCTATCAGTGAAATTATTCACTTAAAGCCAACGTGCAATAACTTGACATTTAAGTAAGCCTATGCCATGCTAAGAAGTGAGTCATACAGAATATTAGGATATGAATATGTAGTACTTGTATAAATTATAAAATATATAGATAGAAAATATATTTTACAAGTTTAAATTATAATTTAAACTTTGTCAAACATGTACTAAAATGGGTTGACAAAACAATGGAACCCATTTATTACTAATTGATTTCATGTTTTATTCAAATTTGATTATAATACTCGAAGTGGACCAAAACAACCTTCAAGATTTCATCATCCCAATTTTAACATGATTAAGGCTTGCGAATAATGCAAGTAATATCCATTTAATACATAGTGACGTCAACAATATATACGTAGAAATTCACATTAATCTAATTAATAAGTGACCAAATTGGGATTCAAAACATATAGAGAAAATTTAGAAACTGATTTTGAACATAATAAATGTTAGGAACCAATTCAAAATTAAAATATAACTTTAAGGACCGAGTGAGTATTTACTTCCTTCGTTGCTTCCACGAAGCACACTGCCATCCTTTATTATATATATTCGATGCATGCCTTAGACGACCACTTCTAGAATTTCCACCAAAATGCCAAACATCTTTTTCTCTCAACTAAAAAAGTCTTTGCATTGACCAGGAATAAATGCCGAATATATTAAAATAAAACCCAAAAAATAATAAAGAAATACTAGGATTTATTGATCCTTTACTCCATAAATATTTCAATTCAATCACCCTATGCTTTTACTCTTTCCATATGGCTAACATCAATGAAACCATGTCCCAACCTGGTGATTGGTTTTCATACTATCAACCGCAAACCAACTCATATGCAACATTTAATGACACGGTTTCAGATGCCACAGTCGTCACCACCACCTCTACCGATGTTACAGCCACATCTATTCAAAGCAATTTGGGACCGGAAGGTGGCATTTCGAAACCTATCCGAAAACGTTCTAGAGCATCCCGGAGAACCCCAACCACCCTACTCAACACCGACACGAGCAATTTCCGAGCACTGGTGCAACGGTTCACGGGCTGTCCACCTGCACCCATGGCTGGTGGTGGTGGTGGTGGGTTTCACATGCAGTATCCAAACCAGCAACAACCGAACATATACTTCAGTTCATTGAATAACAATCCAGCTGATGATTTTCATCAAAGAGTTAACATCTCTACGTCTAACAACGTGGAGGATTCTACTGGCTTTGTTATTGATGGTTTTTCAACCTATCTGCCACCAAGGTCTTCATAGTACAAATTGGGGCCCACAAAAGAGAAGTAGCTGCTGACTTTTCATAGGATGAATGTAACCAATGTAAGTTCCATCTTCTTTTTCTCACTTGATATGAGGACCAGGTAGATTAGGTATTTTGCATTACTTATTATTTTATGCTTTCTTTTTTTTCTTTAAATCATGATGTAATATATATACACTAGTCAACGTTGAACGTGCGTTTCACGTTATTATGAAATATTTTATAAATGCATTAAAAATAATATTTAAATATGCGTGGATGTTAATTAATTTAGAATTAATATCAGGGAATATATACGTGACAATGATTGTTAAATCATTTATTTAATTTTCAATTAAGTAAAACTGGATGTTAATTAACATACATTGACGTGAATAATGAAATGCATTCTTGAATGTGAAATTATAATTAATTTATAATTAAAATTAATAACACTGAAATGTATAAATGAAGGTGAATACTAATTAAATGAACATGAATTTTAATTAATTGAGAATTAATAATAAAGAATTCATACATTAATGAAAGTACACATATAAATTTATGATGTTAATATCTACCAAACAAGAGCCTAATGTTTATTATTGCTGAAAAAATGGTTTTTTTTTTTTAATCACTGGAGAATTCCGGCAGTTTAGCGTCCTCTAAATCATTTTCAAGCGTTACAATCATCAAAAGCTCTGAAAGTTTTTCAATGGAATTGCTTGTCCGTGAACTTTGATAGGTTACACTTGTGAAAAATTATCAACGGTCCAAATCGTTAGTGCTTGTTTGGTAGGGATTTTTGGGAGAAGAATTGATTTTGAATAGTGATATAATGAGAAATATGTGGTTAAAAAAGAAGAAAAAATTATTGATGTGATGGAAAATATTATTTTATTGAAAAATGTGTGGTTGAAAATGAGAATTGATTTGAGAATCAATTTTCAAATAAAAAACAAACACNGATTTTTGAATAGTGTTATGATGGAAAATGTGTGGTTGAAAAGAAGAAAAAATTATTGATGTGATGGAAAATATTATTTTATTGAAAAATGTGTGGTTGAAAATGAGAATTGATTTGAGAATCAATTTTCAAATAAAAAACAAACACCCCCTTATTATTTACCTATGGAAGTGAAATTAACATTAGTCGGTATGTATTAACAAACTTGGTTGACGAAAGTAATTGTCACTCGGACAAGCGATAAATTTCTATATCTGAAGCCTCGAAATTCTGATGGCCTAGTATCCCTTAATTCATTCCTAGAGTTACTGCCAACAAAAAAATCCGAAGTTCGTTCAATGAAATTGCTTATCGGTCAAATTTAATTGGTTGCACCATTCAAAAATTACCAACTATCCATAGAATAATGATATCTAGTATCAATGATGTTGAGCACTAGTGTAGATGTCAGCATAACATATGTCATATTAATGGACGATAATCACTTGTATTTAATTGAACATGTAAGTTAATACCACTAGTACTGCCATCTATACTCAGTGGCGGATCCAAAATTGTTTGTCAGGTATGGTAGTCGTTGACCGGCGATGGTCATCGACCGTAATAGCGATATCGTTTATTAATATTTAATTAAATAATATAAAAATCACAAGTCCACATACACTACATACTCTCAAATTCACAAAATTCCCAATTTTCATAAATCATAAACCAGCAGGCTCACAATAATAAAACATAAATTGTAAATCGTAAATTCAAAAAAAAAAAAGGTTCACATAGCTGCAGCAAGCAATGGCGGAGCGAAGCAAAGACCAGAGACACTCAGCGACTCAGTGACAAACGGCTAGGGGTTGCGCAGCTGGAGGGAGAGAGTTAGCTATGGTTTGCGAGTTTGGAAATTCTTGCTTCTGTTTTGCAATTGTGATTTGTGAACTGCCATATGAATTATGAAAGCAATACAAAATGACTAGCCTCATTGGATTGGATTGGGCCTGATTCATTCTTTTAAAAAAAAAGTGAGAGAGAGAGAAAGAATGGGTTCAAAATGAGGAAAAAAAAGCCTAGGTCCAATACATTGTCATCTTCCCCAAAACACTGAATCAAATCCCTTTGACTCCTGCACTTTAAGCTTCTTCTCCTCTACTAGCGCTTGTAAATTCCGATGGACCTAGCATTGATGCTAAATAACATTACTCATATCCATATCATCGATATTTACCTATGAAAGTAAATGTTGGGGTTTACTAACAAAAAGTTCAACGTAACATGTAAGTATTAATAGATTCAATGATGATAGTAATTGTTGTTATTATTTTAAAATTGAATTTGTTGACCTCAGAAAATGAACTCAACAGATGTCGGGTCCACTCATGCATACGTGAGCCATATCCAACACGCTAAGACAGATCCACGGTCAAGATCACTCCAAAGATTAGATGTGGGAGAAACTCAACGGCACGAGGCATTTTCGTTAGGACTCCGGTAGGGTTTACAGAACAAGACTATACGATGCTCAATCNAGATGTGGGAGAAACTCAACGGCACGAGACATTTTCGTTAGGACTCCGGTAGGGTTTACAGAACAAGACTATACGATGATCAATCTATGAAAGCAATGTTTGTAGTTGTAATAAACTTGATTGGAGAACGAAATATGTTGTTTTTCAGTACTTGGAATTTCATTAGCATTTCATTGTTACATGGCGGGGTATTTATAATGTTACAAATGGAATGGTGACCCTTTGATTAACTTACACGTGACCTCATCTCCTTGATTAAAGTATCAGATCCTAGCCATCATATTGACTTAACTAGCTTTATAAAGCATTAAATGCTCTTACATTGACAAGACAAGACACAAACACACTTTTTATAAGGGTCACATCAATCATTCATATGGGGATCTTCATCATAATCAAATCCTTACACGTGGGCCGTCGCGAGCTAGGAGCCTGCTCTTAGGCCTCTGCTAATAGCAGAACCTTGGATTTAGGAGGTGTCTTAGAAGTAATTGGGCCTCTGCTGACGCAGGGCCTTGAATAAAGGGCATTGGCCTATACAGAAACAGGGCCTAGGTTAGGGTGGTTGGTCCGAATCAGGTCCCACATATTAATCCTGATGATCACGTGGCGATCCCTAGAGACGAGTTGTAACAATAGTCCCCCAAGCCCATGTGTGATTATTTATCTCATGCATGGACTTCAGTAATAAAGTGTCGAAAATTGTGAAATTTTAATTTTGTATCCACTATACGAGTCCCTCAAGTCCATGTGTGATTATTTATGTCATACGTGGAGTTTAAAAAGTGGTAAAAACCCTTGTTACTGAAATGCTTATTGAAGTTGAAGTTCTTTTTGAAGCTAAGGCGAGTCCATAGTTGAACTGGCCGAAGCTGAAATGCTTATTGAAGCTGAAATTCTTTTTGAAGTGAAGGCGAGTCCATAGTTGAACTGGCCGAGGCTGAAATGCTTATTGAACCTGAGTCCATAGTTGAACTGGTCGAGTTCATAGTTAACGGCTTTTCCCTTGACATTCAGCCTCGTCAAAGGGAGGCATGTGATGTACGCCTCGGAGTTCAAACGAGGTTGTCCCTTTAGGGACTGGATCCTCTCCTCCGATGCGTCCACGCTTCCTTACATGGTGGATGGTTCATCCATGTAAAGGCTTCTCCCTTGACGTTCAGTCTCGTCAAAGGGAGGCATGTGCTGTACACCTCAGAATTCAAAAGAGGTAGTCCCTTAAGGGACTGGATCCTCTCCTCCAATGAGCCCAAGATAATCTTTCCTTAAATACAGATTTTATTTAATTACAACGGCTG